AACATCGAGAGAAAAAAAAGGCACTAGAACCAAAATACTTTCGCGTGGGTACTTAAAGATGGTCAGAGAGAGAGAGAGAGAGAGAGAGAGAGAGAGAGAGAGAGAGAGAGAGAGAGAGAGAGAGAGAGAGAGAGAGAGAGAGAGAGAGAGATTGTCAAACAGAAAGAGAATATTAGTTGATAAACATTAACTGATAGTGATGATGGCACCGTCTACAGCTAAACCACCATAGGCTGTCACAACCACTTGATTAGCCATTGTTTGCAGTGGTTCTGTTTTTTTCTTTTCTTTCCTTTTCTTTTCTTTTCGTTCCTCCCCATCTTCCGCTCCAGTGACCCCTTCCCATTGTCCCATACACGGTAGTCGGTCACCCAAACGCCATTATTGCAACACACACACACACACACAAGGCCACACAGACTTGGATTGACACGCGGACATACATACATACATATGCATACATACATACACATATACATACCTACGTACATACCTACATAAGTACATACCTACGTACACACACACACACGCACACGCACACGCACACGCACACGCACACGCACACACACACACACACACATAAAATCAATTACATTTCCCTTGATCTGACCTCCGAAGTGCTGAATTCTCGTGTTCCTTCCACCACAATGCTCCTTGTGATGAAACTCCGCCACAAGAAGAAGAATAGAAACGGACAAAAGGGCGAATTTGTGTTTCTTTTCTATTGTGGTTGTTTTCTTTTTTTTTTCTTTTTTTTTTTACATTGGTACTGTGCTTCCGTTTTTTTTTGTTTTTTTTTTGTAGCATGTCTGATGTGTGTTCTCATGATTATTGCAATTTCTACGTGTTTTTTTTTTTGAGGACGTGCTGTCTTGTAGCGTCATTATTTTCTTCGATACTTTTTATTCTTTCATTCTTTCTCTGCATAACTTTTCTCTCTTCTATCTTCCTCTCCTTCCCTTATCCCTTTCCCTTTCCCTTTCCCTTTACCTCTCCCTCTCCCTCTCCCTCTCCCTCTCCCTCTCCTTTTCCCTCTCCCTCTCCCTTTCCCTCGCCCGTTCCCTCTCCCTCTCCCTTTCCCTCTTCCTCTCCCTCTTCCTCTCCTGATCTCCCATCCTCCTTTCCACCCTCTCGCTTCTCCATCTGCTTCTCCCTCTTCCTCTCCCTCTTTCTCACCCCCCCCCCCCTCTCCTTCCTCTCGTTCCTCTTCTGTCATCTTCTTCCTCTCCTCCACCCTCCCTTTCTCGCAAGCTTCCCTTCGTATCTCCTTTCCATTTCTCTCTCTTTCCCTCTCCATCTCCATCTCTCTCTTTCTGTCTCTTTCTCTTTCCTCTTATTCTCCTTCTCCCATTCCCTCTCCCACTACCTCTCCCACGCTCTCTCCCCTTTCCATATTTCCTTTTTCCTCCCTCTCGCCCCCTTTTCAGCACTCTCCCTTTCCCTCACCCACTCCTTCTCCTTCTCCCTCCCACTCCCTCCTTCTCCTTCTCCTTCTCCTTCTCCTTCTCCTTCTCCTTCTCCTTCTCCCTCTCCCTCTCCCTCTCCCTTCTTCCCTCCCCCTCCCAATAATTTCCCCCTCCCCGCCCCCCCCCTCCCCCCATCCCCTAGCCGGCCTAGGAAGCGGAGCGAGAAGCACGTAAGCCCTGTTTTTGCACGCCAAGTATCAGCGGGTTTCTTGGCGTCTGCTGGCCTAGAATCTATAATGAATCGTCTCAAATCAACCCTTGCTTCACTCTGCAAAACCGCTTCGAAAAGGGGGCGGGAGGGAGGTGGAAGAGAAAGGTGGAAGAGGGAGGTGGAAGAGGGAGGTGGAAGAGGGAGGTGGAAGAGGGAGGTGGAAGAGGGAGGTGGAAGAGGGAGGTGGAAGAGGGAGGTGGAAGAGGGAGATGGAAGAGGGAGGTGGAAGAGGGAGGTGGAAGAGGGAGGTGGAAGAAGGAGGTGGAAGAGGGGGGATGGAGGGAGGGGGTGGAAGGGGGAGGTGGAAGAGGGAAATGAAAGAGGGAGATTCAGGGCTTCAATTGCTTTTATTTATCAGCTACGGAAGCATTACCAGATTTCGAGTAGTGCGTGACATCACCGCCTTGTTAGTTTTCGGTGTTCGTGCCCGTCTCAATACACCCTTGGCTTTTGAAAGAGTGTACATACATACATACATACATACATACATACATACATACATACATACATACAAACATACATACAAACATACATACATTACATATGTGTGTGTGTGTGTGTGTGTGTGTGTGTGTGTGTGTGTGTGTGTGTGTGTGTGTGTGTGTGTGTGTGTGTGTGTGTGTGTGTGTAACCATTTTCACAACAGCAAAATTAATCAAATTAAAAACAATCAATACCCTTCTTTAAACATGGAAACAAAAATCCAAAATTATACCTAATCTTTAATGATCCGCTATTACGCCACAAAAAAAAAAAAAACTCGCTACGATAATTCTGACCTGGACTTTAAATGGGGTAGTTGTCGCCCCCCCCCCTCCAAAAAAAAAAAATACTAATCATAATAGCAATAAAAAAAAATAATAATGCATGTACTGGGAGAAGAGAAAATACAGGTGGGAGGGGGAGGGTGGAGAGTAGATGGAGAAAGAGAGGGAAAAAGAGAGAAAAAAGAGGCTGAGAAATAGACTACGAGAAACAGCGAGCGAGACAGAGAAAGAAAGAAAGAAAGAAAGAAAGAAAGAAAGAAAGAAAGAAAGAAAGAAAGAGAAAAAAGAGAAAAAAGAGAAAAAAGAGAAAAAGAAAGAAAAAGAGAGAGAGAGAAACAAGAAAAAAAAAGATCCCCCTCCCCCCTCCCCCTCACACCTCGCAAGCGCCTACCTCCCCCTCTCCCACCCCCGCCCCCCGCCCGCCCGCCCGCCCGCCCGTGCAGCGTGGGAAGGGGCGGCAGGAGTCAAGGGTCGCACGATAACAGAGCCAGGGAGGAGCGCCGCGGCATCACCCCCCCCCCATAGAGCGAGGCGAGAAGATGACGAAGAAAATGAAGGAAAAAAGGAGGAGAAAGAGATGATGGAGATGGGGGTGGGAAAGGAGGAAAAAGAGGGAGGAGAGGGAGAGGGAGAGGGAGAGGGAGAGGGAGAGGGAGAGGGAGAGGGAGAGGGGGAGGGGGAGGGGGAGGGGGAGGGAGGGAGAGGGAGAGGGAGAGGGAGAGGGAGAGGGAGGAGGAGAAGAAGAAGAAGAAGAAGAAGAAGAAGAAGAAGAAGAAGAAGAAGAAGAAGAAGAAGAAGAAGAAGAAGAAGAAGAAGAAGAAGAAGGAGAAGAAGGAGAAGGAGAAGGAGAAGAAGGAGAAAGAGAAGGACAAAGAGAAGGAGAGGGAGAGCGAGAGAGGGAGGGGGAGAGGGAGAGAAATGTTGGTCCAACTACATTCCTACATCACGACACACTGTTGTGACACTTCCAGGCAAAATAACAAGAACCATCACCGAAGCGAAACGTCACGTCACTGGAGTAATGCATAATGATTACTTTTAAGTAACCTCCGGGCGCCCTCTGACGGCATAAAAGGACAGCCTGATTATACCGAGCCTAGCTTTAATACTCACGTTAACAAACACCATTATCATCACAATCATAAACATCGAAATTAGCATAATTACATAACGACATCGTCATCTCCATAATCCTTTCCTCGTCTTACACGAAATTAGACAGACATAACCACCCTCGTTACCCGAACAAGGCAACAAGGCAGCCCCATCCTCGCCAGAACCGGACAGCATTGTAATCACCCAATCACGCGACTTGTCAGAATCGCGGGCCAGCCGTCCTGACGTCACATCGGTAATCAGCCCGCCGCGCACGCCACGCCGTAATAACAAAGTTTCCCAACTTTCCGTCCAATTATAATCTCATTGAGGTACGCCTTTGCCTTCACAAACCCCTTTTCGCCTAATTAAAATTTCCAGCGGCGGGCGTCTTCACTCCCTCCCCCCACACCCACCCTCACCCTACTCGCCTCTCCCCTCCTGGCTCCTCCTCCCCCCCCATTCCCCCTTACCTATCGTCCTCCTCTTCTTTCCTTCAAAGTCCCCCTTGGCCCCACCCCCATCTACCCCTCCCCCCCTTACTCCTACCCAACGTCCGCCCCTTCTTTCCCCTGACGACCCCCCCTCCACTCCTACCCCCTCTCCCTACCCCCAACAAGGTAACACCCCCTCCCCCATATACCCCCATCTCCCCCTTCCCCCTACCTTCATACCCACCCTCCCCGCAGGGCAGATTACCCATTGCTGAGGCCAATTACCCGAGCTAATTACATTTGATCTAGTTGTTCAGGGATACAGTAATTACTGCGCTACAGAGAGCGTTTAAAAAAGAGCCGACTTTTCTGAAACCAGTAAAAGAAGAAGAAAAAAAACATAATACTCTGCACCTCCAAGAACAAACCTTCAAAGCTACGGTTTCAACTTTCATTTCAAAAACTCTATAAACGGACAGTTGAAACCGTAGCAACATGAACTTTAACTTTCCTTACTATTCCTTACCCAGAAAGAAAAAAAAATATGGAACAAAGTGCAACAAATGATAGAAAGGAAACAATAAGCAAAAAATAAACAAAAAGAATAGGTGAATTGAAGGAAGTTGGCAGGTAGAGAGAGAAAGAGAGAGAGAGAGAGAGAGAGAGAGAGAGAGAGAGAGAGAGAGAGAGAGAGAGAGAGAGAGAGAGAGAGAGAGAGAGAGAGAGAGAGAGAGAGAGAGAGAGAGAGTCTTTCAGAAGACAAACCTCTGCAATATTTCCAAAGCCATCCCACCAACCCACTTTAAACAAAATGAACAACAGCCTCATCCGTCCCTCCCACAGACAAGCCCGCCCCCCCAATAAAACAAAACAAAACAAAACAAAACAGAAAAAATGGAACTCGGGGGGAAAAAATCCATCAAGAAACGAAAAAATAAAATAAAGAAAAATAGACAGAAAAAAAAAATAATGAACACCAATTTCCCAACACCATCGCGAAACACCAACACCACCACCCAGTACTTACGTCAGCATCCCACCACGTAGAGCAGAGACGGAGGGCGGAGTAGCCGGTCTGGGATCCGACGAACTTGCAGTCAGTTCCGGCGTCGCGTCGGTACAGCCCCGGGGGAACCAGCGTGTGGCCGAACCTGGAACACAACAGGGTTAGATTGGGTGGGAAGCGAAGAAGGAAAAGAGATGAGCGGGAAACGAGGAAGGAAAAGAGGATGAGATGCAAGTCTAAAGGAAATTTCGAGGACGTATGTATAAATGTCAGTCTTAAGGTTCGGATACGTTGGATTTTTGTGAAGCCTTTGCCTAGGTTGGTATCGCTATCGCATTCGTTCATCTGACAAAGGTTGTTTACGTAAACAATGAAGTTTATCAAAAGTAATACTCAATAGATTTGCAATTACTTAACAGATTTGCAATTACATAACATCTATTTATATTCTAGGATCTTACTGTACATTTGAGATTTTCCGTGAAAATATGAATTCCTCCATACTTCTCACTGGACTCACGAACCAAGCAAACAAACGAACAAACAAAACGGTGAAGAAAGCGTTTCTATCGGAACGAAGAAGTTTCAACATCTCTCTTAAAAGAAAACTATGTTCTATGTTCCTAAAAAAAATATATAAGAGAAACAATTTGTAAAAATAAATCAATAAAACGGTGCTGCTTTGAACAAAAATATATATACGGTTTTGACCAAGCAAGCTATCTCGCTGAGCATCTCTCGGGATCTCTCTCTCAACATGACTCGTTTTAACTACAGGTCGAACAGGGTCATTAAGCCTTGTTGTTCGTCCTTCGTTCTTTATATAAAAAAATGGCGTTTGTACTTTGCGTGAGTTTGTTTGTTTGTTTGCTTGGCTTTTTTACTTTTATTGTTGATGTCCGTGAATATCGTTCTGAGTTATCGAGGGGATTCATTTACCTAGGTAGAATTAAAAGATTTAATGGGATTACTATTTTCTATGCGTTGAAATCGCCTCTCTCTCTCTCTCTCTCTCTCTCTCTCTCTCTCTCTCTCTCTCTATATATATATATATATATATATATATATATATATATATATATATATAATCTATCTACTATAACCTTTCTACTATAACCTTTCTACTATCTACCTATCTACCTATCTATCTACTATCTACATATCTATCTCTATCCATCCCTCTCTATCTCCCTCTATCTCTCCCCTCTGCCTCCCTCGCTCCCAACCCTCCCCTCTTCCCTCTTCCCCCCTCCCTCCCTCCCCCTCTCCTCCATCACCCTCCCTCCCTCCCTCACCCTCCCCCATCACCCTCTCCCTCCCCACTTCCCCCTCCCTCCCTCCAATCTCCCCATCACCTTCCCCCCTCCCCTCTCCCTTCTTTCCCTCCCTCCCTTCCCTCCCTCCTCCCTCATCTGCTTTTACCTGAAGGCGGCGCTCTGGAACACATGCGAGATGCCCGGATGGACGTCGGGGCGGTAGCGATCGTAGGGCGGGATCTCCTCGTCGATGAAGGCGGGGACGAACTCGTACATGATGATGTT